AACTCCAAACCTCCTCACATGCCGGGACTTGCTTCCAAGAGCACCCTGAACCCTAAATCCTAAAAGTCCTAAACCCATGGAGCCCAAATGAGTCTAAACCCTATAAACCCTATAAACCCTACAAACCCTACAAACCCTACAAACCCTGCAAACCCTGTAAACCTCATGAAGCCCTATAAACCCTCCAAACCCTAAAGCACCTGAGCCGTTGAGAGCTGAGGCGTGGGCCCAGGTGCTGTGCTGGCGGCTCCCAATTCCGAGACCCCGCCCCCTCCACGCCCCATGAGGGAGGGTTGAGAAGCGCGAGCTTGAAAGGGAATTGAGTGCTTCTTGATTTTTACGGAGTCTTTTAGGGTATTTTTCGGGTTCTGTTTTGGGGCTTATAGGGTTCTTTTTTGGTTCTTATGGGGTTTGAAAAAGGTTAGTGCGTTTGAAGGGGTCAGGGCCTTCGGCTGGGGGATTCCAGGGTTGCAGGTTGTAGGGCTGTTCGGGTTCCTAGTGCCCAAACTCCATCCATGAGGGCCCCAGCTGACATCGGAGCCCGAAAATCTGAGCGGCTTCACACTCTGAGCTCGGCTTAGGGTTGAGACGGGTTTAGGGCTTCGGGTTCACCGAGATATCCAAAACAAGTTTTTTCCTTAAGGTATACGGCGCAAGCATCCCTTACAACCGCAACAACATGTCGCCTTTCCAACGTTCGCCGCAAAGCGGGAAACAGAGCATGAAGCTGCTTAGAACTCCTCTTTCCCGCACTTTGGTCACTGCAGAGTGACGTTGCCGGCACCCACACGTGGAAGCCCCCTGGCGACGGAGAGAGTCCCTCCATAACCCAGTGAAGTCTCCAGCCTCGATCCGATGATTGAACCCTGAACTCTGAAGTTGTGATATTCACGACCCTATTCCGCACACCTTGGCGCCCCCCATCCTTGAAGACAGATAGGAGCTTACAGTGTTGGAGGCCAGGCGCCCAAACTCTACGTTGGACTGTGCTTTAAACCAGTTGAAATCAAGTGAAGCATCGATTTCCTTACAGAGAGAAAAGGATATTTGACATTAGACCAAAGCACCACAGGAGTAAACACTCCAAACACAGAGCCTAAACATAAAAACTCCAAACCTGAACCCTGCCCTACCCTCGCACTCTCATCAACTCGGTTGTGGCCCTTGTGATCCCATGAAAGATCTTCAAAGACATGGACGAAACAAAAAGCTGTATGCAGAACGTCTTCATGGCTTGGAGACGTTTCAGGCTTGAACCCGAACTACACCCCCAGTGCTTCGCTTCGCGGGTCTATGTCCTTCCGTTATGCAATGTCCTACTGTCTTCTTCATGCAAAAGTTGCAGTTAGTCTTCGCCACCTGAAAGACGACACCCCAAATTCTAAAGGCTGAGCCCGGTACCTGCACTCTTTGTGAAAGGTCCGGCTGCTTCAAACTCGTGCAACGAAGATTTTAAAGGAAAAAAATGAATCAATCTGAGCAGCAACAAGAACAATGAACCGCGAGTCCTGAAGCTGAAAACCCAAAAACAGCCTTTAAAGCCCTAAAGCTTAAACCAGCTGTAACCAGCTTAAACCTACCTAAACCCTGAACCCCCTGACGGACCTCAACGCCTTAAGCTCTCAGGCCCCAAGCCAGCTTGCCTCTCAATCAAGCTGGAGCACATGCCGCTTGGAGGGGGTCAAGAACGAAGCCTGAATGGCTTTCGGGTTAGGGCTATTAAGGTTTATAAGGCTTAGGGTCGAGGGGGCTTATAGGGCTTGGTGTGCAAGCTTAGAGGTGGGGGGGGGTTGGGTTTTGGGTTGCTACATGCTCAACAGCTGAAGGACCATCTCCTTCGAGCAGGAGCCGGGTTTGGGGCACTTTTGCCGCAAAACGTTGCTGCGTGCAAGGTGGAGGGCCTTCAAGGCCTGACGCGTGCTGGTGCGTGAAAGAACTTATGGCCGGAGGCGTTGAAGCCTCTTGTGCTCGTGATATGTGGTTTGGCTTTGTATGGATGTGAGATGCGTAGCGCAGCTGCTGTGCTGCGGTGCTGCGCTCTGCGATGGACTTTCTGGCCGCTGCTTGAGATTACAAAAGCTGATGTGACGTCTCGCTGCAAGCTGCAAGAGCACGGACTCAAAAGGAAAGGTCCAGGGCATTGATATCGACACACCCGCGCAGCTCGCATCAAACGTCGCAGACGAAAGCCCGAAACCCTATAATACAGAAAGAAGCAAGGCGAAGAGCCGGACTTGCAAAGCTCTGAGACAGGCTGACTGTACTAGGCCCCGCAGCCCTAAACCCTAAAGCCCTAAAGCCTGAAACCTCCAACCCCCAAACAAGCCCCAAACCACCCCAAAACCCTCGAGTCTTCAATGACCCAAGGAATCAAAAGGGCTTCGGCTTTGTTTAAGAGGGTTCATAAGGGAACCTGAGCCCCGAGGGGTGCCCTTTAGGGTTTAGGCGGTTTAGGGTTTAGGGAAAACAGGTTAACCCTATAAACCCTACTCTCCGAACCCGGAGCAAAGGCGCTTGAATCGAGCGCAGCATGGCATCTCCCCAGCGGCAGAGTGGCTCCTGGGAGAGTTCTCGCATGGAAACCTGACCCCCCAAAACTCAATCAGGCCTGCGGCTGGGGGGGTGCAGGGTTCAGGGTACGGTCAGGGCTTTCGGGGGATCTGGCTTTGCCTGATTCAGGGCTCTAGGGTGGTAGGGTTTCAGGGAACCTTAAGCCCTAAGCCCTAATCCCTGAACACATGACAGTGCGGGGATCCACCTGCACTGCAAACTCGACGGTCCAGTCGGCAAACCGCCGAAGGACGCCAGACCTGCGCAGAGAACTGGCTCAGCATTTTGGGCCTGGGGCCTAGGAAAAGAAAAGTCTGAGGCGCATAACTGTAAACTATGTCATGACTTTGGCTTTGAAAGTAGATGGCTGAAGTAAGAATCTGAAGGAATGGGGACCAAGGGGCTTCAGGATGGGCTTTGGGGGCTGGAGGTTTTTTGGGGCCTGGGGAGAGTGGGAGGTTTGGGGAGATAATTTACGGAGGCTGAGGTCCAGGGCGTTGTATATGGGGTCCTCTCTATAAGGGGCTCTACGTTTCAAAATGGGTTGTACTAATGCAAAGGTGCCTATCATAAGGGGATCCTAGTATACAACCCCCCCCTCCCGCCCCCGGCCTTGGCCTACATGCCTCAACCTGATTGACGCAATCATACGGACCGTTTGGGGGAGGGTAGGGGCTTAGGGGACTCACCTTATGTCGTCCTTATGTGGGTTATGTTGACTCTTGAGCCCTCTGACCCCTAAACCCCCTGCGACCCAAGGTGCCAACCTGAATGCATCACGGTTCATCACAGTCAACGTATTGGAGACCGCGATGAAGCTCGTGTCTCCCTCTCCATCCTTTGGGAAAGGGCCTCGGCATTCCAAGCAGAAGGCTTGAGGACTCACAAGAGTGTAGGGTTGGGCGTTTAGGGTTCAGAGACCCTAAACCCAGGCATGGGAAGTCAGTCCTCCAAACTCCAACCTGACAAGCCATGACCAGCCTAACTGCAGCATCTTATACCCTAAAGATGTATAATACAAAGTGCTTGTCTCGCGATAAAAAAAAAAAACACTTCTTACTACACATCTGTATGGCTCCTCCCAGGAACCTCCCAAACGACCCAGTCCAAACCACACCCTGCCCACGCGCTGCAAAAGCCCCGGGTGCCGGGGCTCTCGAAGTCGCCATCCGTCGAATCCGGCCTCTGCTGCTTTGAGGCCCCCTGGTTCTTAGAAGGGATTGAGGGGGAATAGGGCCCTATACGATCCCTTAAAGGGTATATATAGGGCCCTCAGTCCCTCTTTCCCTACTAAGAACCAGCCAGGAGGGGGCTTCGGGAGTTCAGGGTTCAGATGTGTTGGGCATTTGGTTTAAGGAACGCAGACCACACAGGAGGAACCCTAAACCCCAAACCCTGAGCTGCAAGACCCCCCTATAGTCCTAAACCCCTGAACCGTTTGGGAACCCGAAACCCTTAGGTCCTTCAACTTCAACCCCCTAAAACTCGGCCCAAAGGGAGTTCGGTGCATGTTAGGCCAGGCCGCCTCCGCTCCTCCGCCACTGTGAAGAGCAACGCCAAATAGCCTAAATGGCCAGCTTTCTTAATTGGGCTTCATGGGGCTTTGGGAGGTTTAAATTAAAGGGAACTGGGTGGATTATATGGCCAGTTTTCGTAGTAGGGTTTAGGGGGCTTAGGAAGAGGTCTAATTACTAAAGGGAATTGGGTGTAGGACAGGACAGGTCAGGTGTTTGGTTTGGCGACTATAAGTACCTGGACCAGCAGAGCGAAAATCCCAAACCAAAAACGACATGTACATCCAAGTCGCCCACCTCCCGCTCACCCATCTGCAAAAAAAGGAACTCATCCATAGCGAGTGTGTGTGGCTACGGTCACATCTACAAAGGTCCCGGCTTTTGTTTGCGAACCAACAGAGAAAAACGCAGAAACATAGCCAGTAGGCGTACCACAGAAAGTTGTGACAAAAACATGAAAGTTGCAACAGTGCCCACCGGGGTCTAACTACAGTGCACCCCCGCCCTATGCGGGGGGCTGAAACAGTGCCCTGGTGCGCTAGTTCCTCCGCTCGCGGCCGCGGCCGCCCTTCTTCCCCTTTCCCCCCTTACCCTCCCTTGTTCCTTCCGCGACCCCTGGCCGGCTCGCCCGTCTCGTTCTTCCTGTGCGATGTAAGAACACCGCGACCGGGAGTCCCCCCGCCTCCCTGCCCCTCTTTCTCGCCGTGCCCAACCACTGCCCCAACTCACGCTGCAAGCTATGCTGGACATGGAGTGACATAGCCGAGAAGTGAGCTTAAACGTGAAGTGTCCTGGGGACCTCTTTTTTTCCTGTGTTGCCTGGTCTCGGGTCGCGCGGAGGAGGTTGGGTTGGACAAACCTGCTACACGACAGTAACGCGGGCACGAAATCGAACCACGATTCCACCGTTAAGAGCGACGGCAGGGGTTTCCCTTCTTACGGTTCCTGTTGTTGGAGCCATTGCTGCGGCGTGCTTGCTGGGACCGGGTAAGGCAGCTCCACAAGTTCTGCCAGCTCCACAAGGAGGGCCTCTGCTGAGCCCTTTGCGACTGTCTTGAAGGCCCGGGTTTCTTCCGCCGCTGCAAACACAGCTTCCACTTTCTGGCTGTTCTCAACAACGAGCGCAGTGGAACGTTCGAGCCGATCCACCCGCCTTGTCAGGGAGTCAACCTGGTATTCCGTTCTCTCCTGGCGATACTGCAAGTCCTCGATGTCTCTAGTGACATCGGCGGCCTTCCGTTTTTTCCCAGCCATTTCGTGTCTATTTAGCGGTTTGGGCCGATAGAGCCTGCAGGTGTTCCGATCGATACAGAGATTTCGGGCTTGAGGGAAGACCGAAAAGAAATTCCGGCCGCTGTAGCTGAATACAAGTGATCCTGACTTTGTCAGTGGTTTGGGAGACTGTTGGAGTAACCAAAGTTCAAGCAAGAGCCCACCATTGTCAGGCCAAACCTCCCAACAGGATCTCGTAGTTGGATCCCACTTTGTTCAAGACTCAGCCAGATCCTGTATTCCCACCCTTGCATTAAAATCTCCCACGACGACAAGCTCATCCCGGGAGTCTGTAGACTTAAGCATGGCACCCAGATTGTCGTAGAATCCCTCTTTTTCAACATCTGAACACTGAAACGCGGGCGCATACACAGAGATGACAGAAAAAAGTCTTCCAGCAATTTTAAGACGCAGCTTCAACAAACGTGCTCCACCAAACTCACAGAATTCCCCAGCAGCTCTCCAAGATGCAAACAAGCAAGAATCCCACACCAGACTGCGCTTTAGGAGCTTGGAGAGGGAGACCAGAATAGATAAACTTCCACTCAGCATTGACTTGGTAAACACAGTATACACCTTCTCCTTTCCAGCGGTGCTCAGATATGGCAGCTAGGCCTATGTTGTGCCTCGCCAATTCATTGCAAAGTTCCTCGAGTTTTTGGGGTTCTTTACCTTCTACAGAAAGGGTTCCATCTGACATGATTCTAAGCTCACTTGCTAGGGTTCTAACGTTCCAACAAGCAAATTGCAAGCAGGTACATCTAGCCCGCCGACCACGACGCTCAGTCAGCATCTGTCCATGCTTCACTTGTGGTCGGGCCGTAGTCGGCAGTTCGGGTCGATTATCGGGGCTTGCCGACCGCAGTAGGCCCCCCCCCTTACCGCCTCCGTTAGCCGGCCCAAAAACGCAGACAAGTGACTCACAGAAGGACTTAACTCAAATAAGGCCGGGAACACCGGGGCACCGCGATGAGGTGGAGGTCGGAGTTTGCCCCGGTCATCGCAAGCCTGGAGCCCACCCTGTTGTCCTGTACCAGGACTTGGGTGCGTGAAACTGGAAATTAAAAATTTGTTAAAAAGGGGACAGCTAAAAGATATCTCGGCTTGAAAGGGGGGGGGACAAAACCTACCGAAACTGTCATCTAGAGAAGAAGACAGAGAGGGACTGGAAGAACACACCAGTAACTTTGGCGAGTGGGAGGATGACCACATGTATCAACCTACCAAGCATGGGACACAGCTTGCATGCACTAATCTCAACCGTCGCGAGGCCCCGAAACGAACGAACGACTGCGAGCGCCCAACATAACCAAACATCACGCGTGTTCTGTGCTGTTTCACTGTTTCTGAAAAGCACAACCACTGGCAAAGGCTTGCCATCTTGGGGGTCCCCGCGCTGCGCCGCCTCGACCGCGACACTCGACGGAGTAAGCGCATCGCAGCCTCTGCCCCAGGAGGCACAGGACCAAGACCCCCTGCGCAAGCCCCTTGCACGTACTCGACCAAGGCAGTGTACATTTGTGTTTTCCAAGGAGCAGGGCGTTCTTGCGGCCTCTGGGCCGGCGGGAGGGCCGAGTTCCTTTGCCACGTGGTCCATTCTCGCTCAAGGCTAGCTTTATTAAGCTCACCACTAACAAAAGAACACAAGCGACCGGCGTGCCGATTCATTGCCCAGTTTGTACGCTGTTGAGTTGGCCAGGGCAGCAGTCGCAAGGACCCGATCCCCAAGGCTGGACAACCCGGCTTCAACCCTCCTTCCGACTCCCGTTCCACTTCCCGACGATCTCGGTCGCGGCCCCGGTCGCGGTCACTCATCGCAAGCCTGGAGGTAGAGGTGTCGCCGCCCATTGGCGGCACGCCTCCGTACTGAGTCCTGCGTCCCAGAGCACACGCTAGAGCAGAAACCCAACGGACAGAAACCCTCGCTTTGCAGCAAAAGCATGCACCCTTGCAAACAACTGGACGTGCACACATGCAATTAACGAAAACCCAACTTAACAACAGAGATATCTTGACAACCAACATAAGCAAACATAATTTTCAACTCGCAAGGGACTACCAGAAGTACAAGGGCCCTGCGCAAAACCACAGCAAACTGGGCTGAAGAAAGGGGGAGGAGGGGGAGAAGCAAAAGAGGCAACCAGAAAGGAATCAAAAAACAAGGAGGGGAGGAACAAACAGACCGCAGACACAACAGAGGACAAAGGAGAGCCAGAAAACCACAAAAAAGACCAGGGGAACCAGCCCACGACAACACTCCAGCACCACACCAAGACAGAGGAGAGGGATCACCGGACAAAGACGCTCTCATTCCCGCCCAAAAAGCAAAAACACCCGAAACACCAACACAGAAAACTGCAGGGACGGCACCCTGACAGCGCTGATGACTGCGGGACGGCGCCCGAGTCAGCCCATAGGGACAGCAGTCTAGGGCACCATAAGAAACTGACTCAAAAGTCGGAGGGCGCCTTGCACGTGGCCAAAACACCTGCCGCAAAGGGAACGTGTCCCCCTGCCACCTTCGGCTAGTCACGGCTAGTCGTGCCAAGCCGAGACCTGACAAAGGCATGTGTGACACCCCCGGTAAAAGGAGACCAAAACATGAAAACGGCAAGGAACGAACGAAACCCCCCTGCGACCGAAGAAGCGAACCCGAACCCCGGAGGACCGAAACCCTCAGCCCCCCCAAGGGACAAAAAACCTCCTACAGCACCCCCTCACGGCAAGGAAAAAGAGGAGGTCGGGGGAAGCCTCTGTTGGTGGCGGCACATGGCCTGCTCACCCCCTTCGAGAAGCGCATGGCCCCTTGCTCCCTGCGGCTAGACGTGCCCGCCTGAGGCTGTATCCGACCCACTCAAGAAGACCGAGATCAGAAAGCAGAAGAAACACGAACCACCCTTCACGTCGAAATGCGAGACGCGGAACATAACCAAATACCCGGACGCTGGAGCGTCACATAAATGGCCAGGGCCGTCCGTCCGCTTGTAGCGGTATTCTTATCAAGGCTGACATCGATTGGCGTTTTCGTGGTTTTTGTGTGCCTGGACCCCACCAAAAACTGTACCACATCTTGCACAGGTGCGATTTGCTGGGTCCGGTCCACGACACGTGTTTTCATGATTTTCGAGATTTTGCACCGTCATCTGATCTCCGCAACGCCTACGTGCCCGAAGCACATTCGGCCTTGGGGTCCCCTTTGGTCGTGGCCGGACAGGGCAATCGTGAAGTCGTCGGCGTTTTTCGATTCGCCAACTCTGTCCACAGTCCTCGCAACTTTTCATATCAACTGTCATTTTTGTGGGATCATGGCATGCGTGGTGGTCCACGTAATGCGCCACGAGCGAGTTGCTCTTGTCACATCCCTGCGGGCAGAGCCGGCACTGGAACAGGTGAGTGTCCGAGCGCCGCTTTAACCCACGCTGGCGCGTCTGTTCAATTAGCGGCGGTAAGGCTTCGCTCAGGCCCAAAGGCCCCCTATGGGGCCTCCATTGGTTGACCCTTGCTCTTTTTCGCCGGTGTCATTTCAGGTGCTGGGTATGTTTCCGCCACTTCTCGTCGCCAGGCCTCGCGATCTTGGGCCAACCGAAACCAGTCCAGCTCACTTGTCTTGATCTGGGCCAGAAGGTACTGGATCCATTGCTGCTGTCGGAACTTTGGGCGTTGTTTGATCTTGTAGCCGGACCACCATCCACATAGTGCCAGTTTGGGAAGTTCCTCCTTTTTCATTCTCGCCACATGGCCAAGCCAGTTCAGACACTGGCGCCCTAAAGTGGCCTCCACTGGCTCCCACCCCACGAAAGCCGCCATATCCCGGCGCTTGACATGATGTTGTTGCAGCCATTGCGGACGGACGTTGAAGCAGCGATGGATCGCTCGGTGCACCACTCGTTGTAACCTGTGTAAGTGTTCCTGGTTCCATTGTCGCGACCGACCGAAAGAGGTGATAGTGGGCATGAGCACTACTTTCATGAGTTTGACCCGTATGGCCAAGGGCATTTGACTGGGGCGTGGCCTAGACCCGAACTGCCAGGCATGGGCAATTTGTCGAATTTTGTGGTGGCCACGTGACACTTTTTGCGATGTATCATGGCTACTTGAACCCCCCGAAATGAAGCACCAGGAGTGCGGTTTCCCCCACGCATAAACCAGTGCCGAAACCCTCCCCCCCCCCGCCCTCACACCCCCTTACATCATGGTTCACATGCGACGCGAGAGGCACAAGGTCCCACTCTGTTCCTCCTGCGCAAGCTGCGCCATCTATGTATGGCTGAAAGTGGGGCTTTCCGGCTGTGGCTTTCCCCGCTGTAACGCTTATAAAACTGCGAGCGCAAGGGTGACTACGACTACTCGCAATAGGCGGGTCCCCCACACTGTATCCAGAAAGACAGCCCATATGGAGTTTCTGAAGCCTCAATCGCTACTTGCCACCTCATGCGTTCTGCGTCTTCTGGAGTCATGGGGATCCTCGACGTTGCAGCCGCCAGCCCTCTATCCCGGTTGCCTCTTCTGGCGTGGTGCTCTTTGGCGGCGGGGATGTAAACTCCTCAGTGGGTTCACCCTGACTTCCCTGACCAGGGACAATGGGCTGATATGACGAGTCCACCGCTTGTCCTGGAGCTGCGCGGGTGATGAAGCCCAGGCGTGAGCTAAGGGCCCGCTTCGGTCTGTGCCAACATTGGGGGGGCTTCGTGCGCCCTGATGTCCCCGAACTCGAGTGCAGAAGAACCCAGAACGTGTGACCCTTTGGCTGTGAATACTTGCTCAGTCTTGCGACCCATGCCAGCATGCTTCACGCTGTCAAGCAAACATGCTGGGGCATCCGCGTGCTGATCTGTGAATACTTCTTGGCGTCATGCCTGGCATAGTGCTTCCAATCTCTCTCTCTCTCTCTCCCTCTCTTTTCCCTCTCTCCCTCTCCCTCTTCCTCTCGGTAGGGGCCCTGCCTTCGACACGCAATCGAACTCCTGGGCCAGCAGGAAGCCAGCGCACTTCACTGGGTTCCCTCTCCCTCTCTGTCTCAGCAGCTGTGCGCCGCTAGAAACTTATGAAATGTTTCAGCTCTTGTGCTCTGCTACCAAACTTACATCATGCGGGCACTTCTTGAGCCGAAACCTAGGGTTTAGTTTCGTGTTTAGGGTCCCAGGCTTGTTTAAGGTAGATGGTTTTCGGAGGGCACAGGTTTCTGTCAGCCTTTGCTTGAGCCAAAGCTTAAGAGTTTAGGCTTGGGCTCAGGGTCGGTTTAAGCATCTTAAAGCATTTTGGGCGCCTTAGGGTTTTAGGTCTAGAGGTTGAGGGCTTGAGTTGAATTAGGGTTCAGGGTTCATAGGTTTGAAGGTGTGGGAGGTACAGGTGTGGGAGGTACGGTTTAGGGCGCAGTGCTTACCCAGCTTATCCAGCAAACGGTAATAACAATGGTGCACAGTTTGTGCTTAATGGGTCTGTCAGGTAAGCTTAAGAGGGAATCGGTGCACAGTCTAAAACCATGATAACGTAGAGAACAGCTAGACAACACGAGAACATGCCTGCAGGTAGCAAGGTGGGGCTTGTAAGTGTTTCTTTTGTCTGAGGCTTGTGGAGCTAGGAGAGGCCAGACGGCTGCCTGTAGCCCTTCCTCCAAAAAGGCCCTGCTCCGAGGCTCGGAGCTCCAAACCCTTTGGGCCCGTCCCCTCCCTTAGGGTTTAGGGCCGAAAGTTGGGCCCCCCAAGCCCCAAGACCCCGAACCCTGCAGCCGCGAACCGCAAAACTCTCATCCCCCAAAACCCTCTAATCCTGAGCCCTAACACCCTGAAAGCCCCAAACCCTAAAAGCCCTTGAAGCCCCCCAGTAAAACCCCTGAACCCTCAAAAGACCTGGAGCCGCGTGGCGCAGCGTGGGTGGTGGCCGCTCTAAGGCCGGCAGCCCGGGGAGAAAGCCCAACACGGCGCCTCTCGCTTCAGGGGGTTTCTGTTAGGGGGTTTGGGTTTTTGTTCAGGGTTTTGGGGTTTTAGAGTTAAGGGGTGTTTGAGGGGTTTTCGGGTTAAGGGATTTAGGGTTAAAGGGCTTTAGGGTTAAAGGGGTGTGGGAGGTTTTTTTTAGGGTTTGGGGGTTTTTGGGTTAAGGGCTTTTTAGGGTTAAGGGGCTTTACGGTTTAGGGGGTTGTAGGGTTAAGGGGTTTTAGAGTTAAGGGGTTTTTGGGTTGAGGGGCTTTAGGTTTTAGGGTTTTTTAGGGTTTAGGGGTTTTTAGGGTTTAGGGTTTTTACGGTTAAGGCTTTTTGGGGGGGGTTAAGGGGTTTTGGGTTTAGGGGTTTCAGGTTCTAGGGTTAAGGGGCTTTAGGGTTAGTTTTTTTTGGTTTTAGGGGTAAGGGGTTTTAGTGTTAGGGGATTTAGGATCGAGATGTTGTAGGGTTTGTAGGTCTTGTGTCGCTTTTGTTAGGGGCTTGCTTGGGGTTGGGCACTTCGCCACCTCGTCGTCGGCCGAATTCGGCGTTCACTAGGTCTTATCCAAGGGGATCCCTGCCCTAAGACCCTTTACTCCTGGACCCCTAAACCCTACACCCTGAAACCCCACCCCGAAAAACCCTCAACCCCCCCCGAACCCCACCCCCCCAATAATCAAAAACATATACATATGCATATACATATATATATATATGTGTGTGTGTGTTTATATATATATACATATAATAAAAACAAAATAATGCCCCAACGGAGGTCCAACCTGCCCCAGCCGTCTGCTTCACGGGGTCGTGAGCCGCGGGCCGCGGAAACCGGAATCCGGGGTCCAGCCACGTCATCCACGCCTTGGCAGGGTTTAGAGGGTTTAGAGGGTTTAACAGGCTTTAGGTGTAGGGTGTGGAGAATAGGGTTTACTTTTTACCCACTTATGCCTAAATTTGGCCAGGGCTCTGCTATTTTTTGTATTACATGATACAGTACTATGATGCAGGGTACTCTATGATACTATATGATACTGTATACCGTGGTGCAGCAGTCACAAACAAGCTAACAGAACTTCTTAGTCGACAACTAAGAGGCCTTACGTGCCAGGGGTAAGGGGTCGAGTAGACATCAAGTTCCTTTTCCAGGGACTTTGACTTCCAGCGTGCATCCTTGGGACCCCCTGCGATGCACACTGGAGTCACTGGAAGCTTACTCGACCCGGGTCGATATGCATCCAAGGTATGTTTGGTTATCAGAGCCTTGGCATTCAGCCCAAAAGTTTCGAGCTTACCTCATGTTATCTTTGATTAGGGTTCAGCCGCTGTATTTCTTCATTGTGCTGGTTGCGACTCCGGCAATGACGTTATCTTTCCTTAGGGTTTTTGTTGGCTGGTATTTCAGCCTTGAGTTTTGGAGCTTGTCTTACGTTAGCTTGCCTGATGGTTTGCCTCTTTAGGGTTAATTCGTTCTCCTGGTTTTGACTCTGGCAATGCCTTAGGGTTTGTGTCGCTTAGGGTTCTGCTGCTTTCGTTCCTTAGGGATTTTGTCGCTTTGTTCAGGCCCAGGCGTTTTTGTTGTCTCGTTTTTTGGGGTTTTCCCGCTTCCTCCGGCCTTTGCTGTTTTCTTAGGTCAGCCTTGAGGTTCAAGGGTGCAGCAGTTTTATTTCTTCATTGTGCTGGCTGTAACCCCGGCAATGATGTTATCTTTCCTTAGGGTTCGTTTGTCGTCGCTTCTTCACGGCTCTACTGTTCTCTTTCCTGAGGTTCTTATTTTAGGTTTTGTTCCATTTTCTTCGGTCAGCCTTGAGGTTTAGGGCCCATGCACAGCGACCTGTAAGTCGCCAGGTGAGGAGTTGAAGGAACCTTAAGGTGCCTGGGTTGCTCTGACCTGGCACAGAGTCTCTCCGCGGGCCAGGCCACGTGGCCAGGTGCATTGACGCTGCTGCAAAAAACACAGCAGCATGCGGGCGCAGGTCGTAGGAGGCAAGGAGAACCCAGCTTCATCCAAAGAAAGGGAAAACACTTTTGATGGCTCAAGTTGCGCATTCGCGCGGCTCTGTGCATGTACGCGCCGGGGCAACATGCACAGCGACCGGCGGGTGCCAAATCAGGAGGCGAGGAATCCAAGGAGTTTTGAGGTGCGTGGATTGCTCTGACATGCACACCAGAGCCAAAAGTTAAAAATACCCACGCAGCTGGGTGCAGTTTGACATCGCAGCAAAATGCACACCACCAGGCCGGCGCAAGCTATCTTAGTCTGGACAAACATAGAAGACTGCCAATGACATAAGTTGCGCCCGCATGGCTCTGTGCATTTCGGCAATGGGGCAAGATGCACAGTGACCAGCCCGGGGGCAGGTCAGGAAGTGAGGTTTTCCAAAGATGCACTTGAGGCTTAGTCAGGCATATACGAGGTCCGGCGGATTTCGGCTGGGCGTTACTTAAACATGCACGGCTGTGCGGTTGTCCTTAGTGGGCTTAATGGCAGTGTGTTGGTTTCGCGCGCCCCAGGCCCAAAATGTGGTTTCCGCCTTTGATTTCTTTACGTCTGATGCTCAGTTGTTCCAAGGGTTTCGCTGCTTCATTTTCTCTTGATGTCGCCTTTCCACCCAAGTCCAGCACAACATGCAGGAAATCGATTAGTTTAACAAATTTACTTAAATTATGTAGTTGTATCGAATTATCTAAGTAGTTCATTATAATAGTCTAATTGTTTCATCAGTTCGGTAATTTAGTTTAATGAATATGATTACAACAGGAGCCCTAAAGCCCTAAACCAAAAAATCTGAAACCCATAAACCCCCTGGAGCCCCCGAAATACACCCGAACCCCCTACCCCCCCCCCCCCCCCTTCCAAAAAAAAAACAAAAATCAAAATAAATGAAAATCAAGCCCCTGGATCCCTAAACCCGAGATAAACCCTCAGTAACTACATAAGTACATAAATCCTCAAAACCTGAAGGCATGTTGACCCCCCAAGACAGAGCCAACCACCAGCTCTTGGGCTCCCCAGCGATCTCGTGCAACACCCGATGCTGGAAGATGGAGCCAAACTTGAACCTGGGAGTCTTGCACCCC